AGAGCAAGCACAAACTGGCAATCTCCCCTGTTGGTAAGTCTTAGTTTTGTCTTTATGGTCATATTCGTCTATGATAATCTTTTTTTTATTTGCTTATGGTTTTAATTGCTCTACAGTATTCACCTTTTTTGCCAAAATTTCTTCTTTTCTTTTCTATTCTTTTCTTCAAAATATATATTTTTTCTTCTTTAGATCCTCCAGGCACACCTAACTGCATTGATGTTACAAGAGACTCTGTAACACTTCAGTGGGAACCACCGAAGCGTGATGGAGGCAGTAGGATTGTGGCATACAGTGTTGAAAGGCGTCAAGGAAGAGCACGTTGGTTGAGATGCAATTTCATTGACATCAGCGAATGTCAGTTTACTGTAACAGGTCTTGCTGCTGGTGATCGCTTTGAATTTAGGGTAATTGCCAGGAATGCTGTCGGAACAGTTAGTCCACCTTCTCAGTCATCTGGCTACATCATGACCAAGGATGAAAGTGGTATGTACATACAAAGGCATCATTCAATAGATATTGTTCTATATTAAATATGTTAAATAATCTAACTTTTTTTCCCTTTTCAGTTATCCCTGAGATTCAGTTTGAAGCTGAGAAGACCCTCACCATCAAGGCAGGAGAAAATATTAAACTCAACTGCAGTATAAGTGGCCGCCCTGTACCTCAAGTCACATGGTATAAAGATGGAAAGGAAGTTGATAAAATGCTGGTTGACATCACAACTGTTATTGGATCAAGCTCACTGTTCATCAGAGATGCTGACCGCAATGACCGTGGTATCTACACAGTTGAGGCCAAGAACAGTTCAGGCACAACAAAAGTGGATGTTCTTGTCAGAGTACAAGGTATGATCTAAAATCAGTTTTGACTCCGTTTTAATGAAGCTGTTCTGGATTTGGTCATTGCTTATTTTCACTCTGTGTTATTCAGATACCCCTGGACCACCTGAGGGCCCGCTCCGCTTCACAAATATATCTGCAGAGAAAGCAACTCTTTGGTGGAGCCCACCTGAAAATGATGGTTGTGCACCTATCACTAATTATGTAATTGAGAAGCGTGAGACTTCCAGAATTTCTTGGGCACTTGTAACATCCAAGTGTGAAGCCTGCTCCTTTAATGCCACAAAACTGATTAAAGGCAATGAATATCAGTTCCGTGTATCTGCTGCCAATAAATTTGGTGTGGGCAAGCCACTAGAGTCTGAGCCAATCATTGCTCAGATGCAATACAGTAAGTAAAAATATTTGTTCTTGATCCAATCATTTGTTAATTTAGTACCTGTTATTTTTTTGTACTTTAACACATTTTTGATATCTCACAGCGGTACCAGATGCTCCTGGAACACCTGACTGCACCCATGTGACAGGAAACAGTATCACTCTATGCTGGACAAGACCGAGACATGATGGTGGAAATGAGATTAAGCAATATATTCTTGAAAGACGAGAAAAGAAGAGCTTAAGATGGGTGAAGGTTTCTGCAAAGAGACCAATATCTGAGCTTAGGCATAGAGTAACAAACCTTACAGAAGGAAATGAATATGAATTCCGTGTTATGGCTGAAAATGGTGCTGGAATTGGACCTGCAAGTGGTACATCCAGATTGTTCAAATGCAGAGAACCAACAAGTGCACCCAGTGCTCCAACTCTGGTGAAGGTAATTGATTCCACCAAGATGTCTGTTACCTTGGAATGGACCAAACCAGTGTTTGATGGTGGTATGGAAATCATTGGTTACATTATTGAGATGTGCAAGGCAAGCCTCGAGGAATGGCACAGAGTCAACAACCAGACTTGCATCCACACACATTACGCAGTAACAGAGTTAGAACCTGGTGAAGAATATAAATTCCGTGTGTGTGCAGTCAATGGTGCTGGCAAGGGAGAATTCTCTGAGACTCCAAATGTAGTTCAAGCAGTTGATAGACTGACCTCACCTGAAATTGATATAGATGCAAACTTCAAGCAGACACATGTTGTGAAGAGCGGCGGAACAGTTACACTTCATATTCCCTTCTGTGGAAAGCCAGCCCCACTTGCCACATGGACAAAGGCAGATGGAGATCTTGGTGTAATGGTGGATATTAATACCACAGACACATTCAGCACTTTGACAATTGAAAATTGCACCAGGTATGATGCTGGCAAGTATACACTCTCTCTTGAAAACAACAGTGGTCGTAAAGCCATTACATTAACAGTCAAAGTGTTGGACACACCTGGCCCTCCTGGACCTCTCTCATTCAAGGATGTAACAAGAGGTGCTCTGACACTCATGTGGGATGCACCATCCAATGATGGAGGTGCACGTGTTCATCACTACATTGTTGAAAAGCGAGAGGCAAGTCGGTTAAGTTGGCAAGAGGTCAGTGAAAAGTGTACACGTCAAATATTAAGAGTGGCCAACCTTGATATTGGTGTAGCATATTTCTTCCGGGTTATTGCTGAAAATCAGTATGGCAAAGGTGAGCCATTTGAAATGATGGAACCTATTATAGCCACAGAAGAACCTGCACCTCCTAAGCGACTGGATGTCATTGATACTACATCCTCAACAGCCAGTTTAGTATGGATGAAGCCTGAGCATGATGGTGGAAGCCGCATTACTGGATACATTGTTGAGACTAGAAAGAAGGGTTCTGATCACTGGGTTGTAGGTGGTCAAACCAAATCTTTAAAAATGGTTCTTGAAGGCTTGGTTGAGAACACAGAATATGAGTTCCGTGTTAAGGCTCAGAATGATGCTGGCATTAGTCAGCCACGAGATGCCCTAGCCTCTGTCATTATAAAGGAGCCACGTATAGAGCCAACAGCGGATCTCAGTGGCATAGATAAACAGCTCATCACTTGCAAAACTGGAAATTCCTTTACAATTGATATTCCAATCAGTGGCAGACCAGCCCCCAAGGTAACATGGAAGCTTGAAGAAATGAAACTTAAAGAAACAGACAGAGTGTCGATTAAGATTTCTAAAGACAGAACAACTCTACTGGTTAAGGATGCCAAGAGAGGTGACAGTGGAAAGTACTATCTCACACTTGAAAATGTAGCTGGATCAAAAACATTCACTGTCACTGTCAATGTCATTGGTAGACCAGTCCCACCAACTGGACCTGTTGAAATTTCAGGAATATCATCAGAATCCTGTGTATTGACTTGGGGAGAATCTGCAGATGATGGTGGAACAGACATAACCAATTATATTGTTGAGAAACGTGAGTCTGGCTCCACAAAATGGCAGGTTGTGAATTCAAGTGTGAAACGGACCACCATCAAAGTAACTCATCTCACAAAGTACATGGAGTACACTTTCAGAGTCTGTGCTGAGAACAAGTTTGGTGTTAGCAAGTCTATTGAATCTCAAGCTATTGTTGCTGAGCATCCATTCAGTGAGTATTTAATATTTTATACAACTTTATTGATTTGATGAAATAGAGCATGAACACTGCTGTATTTATTTTTGTTATTTTCAATCTGATAAGTATTAAATTTCTGTTTTCAGTCTCACCAAGCCCACCAACTCGCCCAGATGTAGTTTCAGTGTCTGCTAATGCAATTTCTATCCGCTGGGATGTGCCATATCATGATGGTGGAAGCCAAGTAACTGGATACTGGATTGAGAAAAAGGAGCGTAATACCATTCTGTGGGTGAGGGAGAACAAGATTCCTTGCCTTGAGTGTCACTACAAGGTCTCTAACCTTATTGAGGGCCTCGAGTATCAGTTCAGAGTATATGCAATGAACATCGCTGGTTTGAGTAAAGCAAGTGAACCATCAAGACCAGTACTGGCTCTAAATCCAGTTGGTAGGTTTTTTTGTTACTTTCTACTGCCATTCATATGTATTGTTTTTATTCATGATAATTAATATTAATCAAGTGTTTTTGTCTGCATTTTCAGATCCACCTGGCAAACCAGAGGTTTATGATGTAACCAAGACGTCAGTGTCTATTAAATGGTCTATACCATTCAATGATGGTGGCAGCAA